TAAGAGACAGGTATAAAACAGTGTATTTATTATTATTATTATTAACAATCAAGAGCAACCAAAAAATTCAAACGTACGAAACGATTCTTTTATATAATAGTTATTATAAATTTAGGTTATCTAAAATCGACACTGATGAGTAACATAACTGTGTATTAAACGTACATATAATTTTTACTTAAATAAGAAACAAATGTATCGTGTTGACAATATTTTCACTTAACGTTTTAGCTCTGTGCATTTGGATATCAAATTTTTGTGCATTGCACACTGAACACATGTGAAATATTTACGTTGAATTAGCTAGACTACTATGAAGTTGACAGATATTAAATATTTATTTAAGAAACGGTGAGGAATTACTCATAATGCATATCACGCTTGTGATTTCAGAAATAGGCAGCCTGAGACACTGAATACAATTTCTATATTGTCACATGTTCTTTTATGGAATTATGTTTTAGTTTATTTTGATGTCCTTTATGTATAAATATATGTTTATTCGTAAGTCCATTTCTATTTTATTTTTGTATTTTTTTAAACTAGTAGTAAGGGGGAATGGAGGTCTTAGCTGTTATAAGAGATTAATAAAGACATTACTGACAATTTTTGTATTGGGACTGTAAAACAAATTTAATTTCTCTGTTTTATGAGCTACTTGTGAAATCTCTTATTTTACAATCATGCATTAAAATCAAGATTGTTCTGGTTATGGAATCTCTACAGAAGTAATTCTAAATAAACTGTACCCTTTAATCTGCCTCAAAACACAATTTCACTGTCTTTTTTATCAATTTATTTGCAATCATAAGCCAGTGAGATTGAAACAGTGATGTGAACAGAAATTGGGATATTTACTATACTGCTTAAAAAATGAATTCAAACTCTGTATAAGCATAATAATATATACCCAAAAAGCTCGTGTCCAAAATAAAGTANATTATCAATTTTAAAATATAAATTAACACTGAGTAAAATAAATATTTTAAAATATAAATAATATATTTTTTATACCGCATTAAGTTTTCTAATAGATGCATAAAACCCGTAGTGTAGTATTACGATAATGACTGCTTATCTACATTGCGTTAAATATGTATCTCTATTGCAAGTTATAGCCAGAAGAGCCTTGAAAGTTTAATTCTTCGGACAACTTACTTTCAAGAAATCGGCACGCTCTACTTCGAACAAATCCGCGCGTTCCTGGTCCTTGCGGTCACATCATTCCTCGCGAAGAAACGATGAACAACCTACTGACAACGTTTCGAAAAGTGAAATCGATTTGTCGCAACGAAGAAGAATATCGGCACTAGTTTCACGGACACACGGCACACGGTTCACAATTCAATGAAGTGTGTTACGTCTTCGTTCAAATCATTTCAATTTAACGAACAACTCTGGATTAGAGTACGTCGATTTATCGAAAAACTAAAATTGATTCAGCTGCTCGCTAGAAACGTCTTGTTCGAAACCAGTTATTTTAAACATAGACATTTAAAATAACTCATTGCGTTAAACTATAATATATACATAGAATAACACGATTTAGTAATTGAAATGAAAAAGGTGGGAAATCTCTTCAATTTTGGAACACTGTATATGAATTTATCATAAGTTAAAACTGATTCAATATCTCGTTGTTTGCAAAAACCGAATTCTTCGAAAATAATTATTTTAAGTGCATCACGCTTTTGAAATAACTCAGTGAGTGAAACTTACATGTGTAAAATAACTCGATTTAATGACTGAATTGAAGGAGTCTGGGATACGTAAAGCCGTAGTTAAACAGAACGTTTCTGTATCAGTAACAGAGGATTACTTTTGTGCACGACTCGACCCACTGTCTCGAAGCCTACTGAGCAGCCACGTTCGTTTTTGACTAAAATTTCGCCTAATCGCGAGTACATTTGTAATATGGCATCATCCGTTTATCTTATCAACTCCGTGTGTCTAGCGATCGATATTAATTTCTCCCTGGTACTCGACGCGAGAAATCGCTTTTAATTATCTTGTTCCACGCGCCGCAGATACCGAACGTTACATACATTGGATCTTCGACTCTCTTTGTTCTTCGGATTATCCTATGTAAAAATGCGTCATTTAATCATTACATAGTTTTATCGCGTGCTTGAGTCCGTCAAGAGCCCGTAATATAACGTCGACTCAATAATAGGACATGTTACCAGGAATGGTTATCTGAATGAGAACGTTGTCACCTGTAAATAGATCTTCCAAATAGTAAAAAGGCTTCTCCGTGTCAGTTAATACTGTTTATCTGACTGATAAGGAGCGAGAGCTTTCTCATGTAGAAAGGCTGTTCTAATTCTTATTATTCCCCTCTCTACGTTTTTTTATCAAACATGAAATAAAATTCTTTATTTCGAGTATTAAACGCGAAAGACGTTCGTTGAATTAAGGAGGATAAACAACTCAAGGAGATCGTTTAAGTTTTTTCTAAGTAGTTGAAAACTTCTAAACTGAAGTAAATTTTTCCCTTGTTATTCTCCATTCTACGATTTTCATCAAACGTGAAATAAACTTCTATAATTGTATTTTAACTTTTCAAATATCAAACACGAACAGCGTTTGAAGTATTAAATAAAAGTTCTACTGGTTTAAACTTGAATGAGACTGTAAAAATCTTTAATGAGTTATAAAGTATCTGTAATTCTCTCATTATTATCTTTATTGCACCGAGAAAGATGTTAAATTATGCAATGTAATAAGTGCTTTATACGCTTTTGTCTGTGGAGAATGTACAATAATTTTAATTAACAAGAACATTTATTCTGTTCTGAAAAATTTCACGTTGTAACAAATAGTATTTCTAAGAACATTTTAGTGTTGGTTTGAATTTGAAATCAAATTTAATTATACTGGAATTGTAATGCACTTTCTCTTCTACATATTCAATTTCTTAAATAATACTAGTTAAAAAGACAATCTTAACCCGTTTGTATTATTTGAAGAAATAGAAAATTGGACCATATCCCAAAATTCCGCGCATATTTGAGCTTATGATGTAAATGGGTTAAATTTTATACTCCATTTTTAAATACGTGTTCTGAATTGTACAATCTTTGAGAACTTCTATTAATCAAACATATTATAACTGTTAAAATTAAACATTTAATGTGGAAGATTCCCTTAAAACAGAAAATATGATTTAAGAGTTAAGATTTCGATAAATAACTTCTATTTATAAAAGTTAACAGCTTCATTTGAGTCCTGCTTTTCCTAAGTCGTAGAAAAATTTCTAAACTGAAATTAATTTTTATTAGAATTTTGGCTTTATCAGTTTTGGTTTTATGAAACGAGAACCTCTAGATATGCACCTTATGTGTGTAGTTACAGTTTTTTAAAATTATACAGATGAACATAAATGCAACCGTAAACAAATAAGTATTTTCAATTTTCATGTACGAAAAATAAAATGTCCATACAACATGGTCGTTATAACGTCCATGCACTCTATTGAACCATGATCTATCCCTGGATAGACAGGTTATTAAGGATGTATCGGCTATACAATCAATCGTTTATGTACCTTAGAGAAACGCATTTCCTATAATTAAAAAAGAAATCAGACGTCGGAAGAACAATGATTTTGGATGAAAAAAGTTTACTNGTTCTAATGGTTCAAAAAATATTGTAGAAATAGGACAGGACTCCTCTTTTCGATTTGTAATTTTGTTATTATATTTTAATCAATAACTTCCTTTAAAATCCATGGATGATGATTATTTTTTTAGAAAGTTCATAAAACACTGGTGATTCGATATGACCTCTTTTCAATAGTTCATCACTGTTTTTTCTGGGTTATTTTCGAGATCAAAGTGAAGTTTTCTTTGTGTTATTGCTCATTATCATAAGAGTACATGCAAATTTTAAGTCACTATAATTTCTCAATAAACCCATGAGTTGATTTAAAATTTTGCAAGTAGCTTTTTAATGGTAATAGAAATCAATAATAACAAATTCAACATGTTAGCACTATTTAAATATGTAGTCTATGCATCCTTAAGCCCGAAAATGCAATAGACTCCATCTGGCAAGTCTTACTTTACATTTAAATATCTAACAATTATTTACTTGTTATTCCTCATTGTACGTTTCTTATCCAACGTGAAATAAAATTTTATAATTGTACACTTTTCAAGTAAGAAACACGAAAAACGTTCGAATAATTAACTGGATGTTTTTAAAATTTGGAAATTCACTATCTAACACAGTTTTATCACTCCATTTTACTGTTATTAGAATCCATTTAGGCACAATAGCTATTATATTCGCTCCAACGCTATCTCTGGGACAACGACCATTCAGAAATTCTTAGACTGTCTAATATTTACCCAGTAATCAGTGTCGGGAGCCAGTGATACTGGATTGGAAAGATTATAAATGCAACACGCATTATCGCCCACAGTCTGCACTGCGTTCAAGCAATTCATAGATAATGTTATTAACTTTGTGATATTGGAATATTTGCTGCTGGTTAAAATATGTCTTAAAGTGCGTCGAGGAAGTAGGCACTTAAAAGTAGGTATCTAACGTTGAAAACATGGAAATCATTGTAAAAAACATTGAACGTTTGTAAATATTTAAGTATTGTATTTTTCTTAGCTGAAGTGCTACATCAGTTTCGTTATCAATTATACTTGTAGATATTAGATACGTAAGACGGCGCGATGTTATCTGATCTGAAAATCATACATAACAGTTTAATATTTAATTCTATTTCAATTCCCTTTGTTGTTTCAACTTTCTGTATGGAAATTATCCAACTTTTCGTATAACATGATTTTTGTTCACGTCCCAATTTATGCTCACTGGCTTACATACACGGATTAATACAGGGTGTCGCAGAAAAAACTGTGTTAGAGTCGAAGAGATTTCGTAGGTATTTCTGAACAACAATTTCCTTTGGAGAAATGCAAAGTGAGGCATGGTTTTTGAATTATTAACGAAAAACACTGACCAATAAGAACAAGTGCAGGACCCGCACTGAGCCACGGAAGTATTAGCTCAGTTGGCTTTTTCTCAGACACACTGCATAAAATACCAAACGAAAAGTTAGTGAGTAGAAATTGTTACAATGACAGAAATTCAGTCACTTACCCTAAATATACAGGGAGGTTCATCAGATGATAGTATCTTGATTTTCGTCATTATTATACACAACAAAGAACGTTTACATACACATGAGTCGTTTATCAAGATTGAGATATTTAAAGGCTTGCGTTTTAATTTTAAAAATATCCGTAACTGATAACATAACAGTATAATGTTCTTGTGTCTCTAAGGGTGTATAATTCACCAACCATAATTACCATATCGCAATATAAATTATAATCGATAATTTTTAAAAAATTTAATTATTATAAAATAAAATATAATTACCATGAGATACATTGTTTAACAAGTAATGTGTTTCTGATGTCTATAAATAGACTTAAGCGATTTTCAAAATAAAAGATTATATCATTCTATTAATCAAGTAATTTTCTTTTTACAGGATCTTTCTGATTTTAAATACAGGATGTCCCACAAAAGGGATTAGAACCGAAAATGGCAGATTGGGAGGGTTATAGTGAACAATAATTTCCTTTGACAAAATGGAAAATGGGGCTTGGTTATCGAGTTATTAACGAAAAATACGGATGAGAGCGCTCGGTTGGTGCGAGCTCCGGCTCGGATCCGTACGCCCAGGGTGCGCATAATTTTTCCCTCACGGCTCGCTTCCCCTCTTTTTCGCCCGTATTTCGAGCCTCACTACTATTCACCTCATGCGCCTTCGCTGACCATGCCTAGCATCAGCGTTGAGATATTTTTTCCCTCGGCCGGAAAGTGGGGACAACGCGAACATGGTGGAGACTCAGAGTCCTGCAAGGGCCGAATGAACGGGCCGAGCCCTCTCCACACAGCAGTAACAGTGATTTGCGATAACGCGCACGTGACACCTTTTCACCGTTAGCCCGTGAATCTGCGATCGGCCCTTGCCAGCCCGTAGTAACCAGTGACAGCTCGTAGTTGCGAATGCTGCGCTATATTCCATTCATGATTAGCTGCTCGATGCTCGCGATCGACCGCTCTACGGTCTCGCCGTCACACTCCTTATTCATGTACTTATTTGTACTTATATTATTTATGTATTATATTATTATATCATTAATGTATATTTATTATACATGCTATTGCAGGATGTAAAATATAAAATACAAAAAATACAAGAAGTATACGTTATTTATATAAGTAATGTAGATATATTAAGGAATCGAAAATGTCAAGGAGTTTGCATAGTTTTTAATTTGCATTATTTTCCGCAAATGTTGTGTTAATCATTTATGAGTACTGTTTAGTTGATTCGAAAAGGATATCAAAATTATTAATGGTCCGCGTTTGTTATATTGCATTCTTTTTGGGATTCTGTGCCAATTATCATTTAAACTTATAACAATAATGCAACAAGTAGAAAGAAGAAAGTGTAGAGTGGAAAATAAATTATTATAGACAAAACATTTTTATATATGTACTACATATATGTACTACATATATAAAAATGTTTTGTCTATAATAATTTATTTTCCACTCTACACTTTCTTCTTTCTACTTGTTGCATTATTGTTATAAGTTTAAATGATAATTGGCACAGAATCCCAAAAAGAATGCAATATAACAAACGCGGACCATTAATAATTTTGATATCCTTTTCGAATCAACTAAACAGTACTCATAAATGATTAACACAACATTTGCGGAAAATAATGCAAATTAAAAACTATGCAAACTCCTTGACATTTTCGATTCCTTAATATATCTACATTACTTATATAAATAACGTATACTTCTTGTATTTTTTGTATTTTATATTTTACATCCTGCAATAGCATGTATAATAAATATACATTAATGATATAATAATATAATACATAAATAATATAAGTACAAATAAGTACATGAATAAGGAGTGTGACGGCGAGACCGTAGAGCGGTCGATCGCGAGCATCGAGCAGCTAATCATGAATGGAATATAGCGCAGCATTCGCAACTACGAGCTGTCACTGGTTACTACGGGCTGGCAAGGGCCGATCGCAGATTCACGGGCCAACGGTGAAAAGGTGTCACGTGCGCGTTATCGCAAATCACTGTTACTGCTGTGTGGAGGGGGCTCGGCCCGTTCATTCGGCCCTTGCAGGACTCTGAATTCCTGTATCGAGATTCCTTCCACTGCATCCATAATTATGGCCTGGTCCTTGGTAGGGAATGATTCTTTTTGTACCACAGGGACATACGAGACAGTGGTAGGTTCTTTTTGACTTGGATTGTCCATTGTATTATCTTTTTATTTTGGTTTGGAGCTCCTGTTATCAGAAGCTCCTTTGCATGTATGCAAAGGGTAGCCAGGTGTCGGTCACCCAGATATGAGGTCGAATGCTTCACACCGGTGCGGAAGAGTAATTATCTATGTACTAGCTCACTAAACCTCGGTAACAGGACTCGTAAACACGTCTTACTTCAGCGACGGTTCAAACAGAACTCCCTGAATAACAATTAATACACTTAATCGTTCTTCAAGTGGAATGGATAAGCAAAAAGAGAGGTTAGTAAGATAAATGAGAAATCACAAAGTTGCAACAAACTTAAAAAATTTGTGAATTTAAAAAACTTGCAAAAATATTGCAGATTGGGCTTACTCATTCATCCACAAGAGCACCTGCTCCGAGGAAGATGAGTCACGGTTAGTGGGTCAGCGTACCGATCCTTACCGCTTGCAGGTAGAATCGGCCACAGATGATCTTCGGTTTAGGGAAGGAACCCCGCAATGACATTTACACTGCACGATCACTGTCACTCTACACTTAAAAATTTTATCAAGATTGTTGCTCCTGCGTCCTATCAATACACGTCTTCGAAAGGAGTTGATTGACTTTTATAGACGAACTTAACTTCACTACACCACTGTCACTTCCCACTTAAAAATTTTCAAACACTTACACTGTTGCCCCTGCACTCTAACATTAAACGTCCCAGAAAGTAACCGAATGTTTTTCTGAGAGTGACAGTGATCATGCAGTGTAAATGTCATTGCGGGGTTTCTTTCCTGGAGCGTCGGACGAGACGCTAAGCAACACGTTTCCAAAAAACATAGAATACTTTACGGCTCATATTTTTTGTGTCTACCAATTTAATCTCAACGGGCCAGAAGGGTATGTCAATAGTCATCCCAAAACGCTTGTTTTACGACCAAGTAAATCCAAACACCAACATCTGCTGACCAGAGGCCATTTGGGCCTCAGGTAAAAAGGGCTCCTACGCGGGACCTCCGTCGGCCACGGTCACGACTCCCAGTTTTTTCCTCATTGGAGGAATAACAAGTATGCAATTTTGTCGCATGCACTTCGGAGGAGAGGCACAGCCAATCAAGAAGAACGAGAAACTAGAAGCCAGCAGACAGTTTTCTCTAGAGTCAGTCAGCTCCGACAAAGAGCCAAGGAACCATCTCGTAAAATATTTTGTACACGAAGTTTTAGAATAAAGTTATCTTGTTATCATGTTACACTGAATCCAACAATCAATCAATCCATCATTCAAAATCAGCGGTAGCCAGTTAAGTTGTATGCCGCAGTCACCGTCCGATACCGTCGCATCAACGCGCAAAGGACTTACAACCCTTTGGTAATTCAATTTAGAATCGCGGAATCACGGTACGAAACATTCCCCAAACCGAATATCATCTGTGGCCGATTCTACCTGCAAGCGGGAAGGATTGGTATGCTGACCTGCTGACATAGAGGTATTACAGATAGAGTAGGGAAGACATAGGCTCTTGTGTAAGTGGTACTGTATACTCATTAGATAGAGAAAGAAAATAGAAGACCTTATGGAAGACCTCTTTCTGTCTCTTTCTATCATACGCTAGTAGAAAGAGATAAAGAGAGGTCTCTTATTGTCTCTCTCTTTCTATTCAGGATACGGTTTTCGGGCAACCTTCCCTACTCTATCTGTAATACCTCTATGCCCGCTGACTGTGACCCATCTTCCTCGGAGCAGGTGCACTTGCAAATGAATCGGTAAGTCCAATCTGTAATGTTTTTCAATTTTTTAAATTCAACGTCCGCTGCAACTTTCTAATTTCTCATTTATCTTACTAACCTCCTCTTTTGCCTATCCATTCCACTTCAATAACGATTAAGTGTATTAATTGTTATTCATAATAAAGAACGAAGAATATCCTTGCATTGTCATTTATATAGTTCATTATTCGTTATTTTCTTAAAACGCTTCGTACTGAGGGAAACGCTTCCTTATGCTTCAAAAACCGAGGCGTCCGGATCCGAGCCGACGATCCCGAGCCGGAGCTCACACCAACCGAGCGCTCTTATTCGTCCGTGTTTTTCGTTAATAGCTCGGTGACCAAGCCCCATTTTTCATTTTGCCAAAGGATATTGCTGTTCACTATGACCCTCCCAATCTGCCATTTTCGGCTCTAACACTTTTTCTGGGATACCCTACTAATTCTTCCTCTACAACCTTGGCGAGAAACATGAAGTCAACAGATTGTTTACACTATGTACTGAAGTACCATTGTCATACCCTCTTCGAAAAGTGCGGCGCTGTGTTGAAAAAAATGGTTTATAGAACTAATGAGAAGCGAGGGCGATACACTCGCACTCCAAACAATATCTTCTTTATACACATATTCTATTGGTTCCCAAAAACTAAAACATTATTTATTAACATCATGCAAATTACGATGTACGTATATTTACTTCACATCGATGATTCTTATTATCATATTGTTATTCGCATTATAATACGCAATTGGCTTGGCGTTATTTGCCCCGGATGAAATAATTATTAACTAACAACCTACAGGGGACAGTCGAAAGGAATCGGAGGGTAGGCTTACAGGAGTATTCCTACTATACGATATCCTTCCGACAGCTGTCGGTTCCGACAGTTCGAAAACGAGCGAAATCAGGGTTGTAGTCGGTAGGATAGAGTATAGGGAAAAGCGTGTAAAAGCAGGAGGGTCATAGGCCCCCGGTCAAAAACGACGCCGAATTTGCAGACTGACCGCCCGCTGTTTGGCCGCTTCGTAGTCGGAGACCGACAGCTTCCGAGCGAAATGCAAGGAAAGCCTACCTTGCGATTCCTTCCGACAGTCCCTTGTAGATTGTTAATAACTATTTCAGCCGAGAAAAAAAACGCCGAGCCAAATTATAATGGGAATAAAAATATGATAATACGAATCATTGATGCGAAGCAAATATACGTATATTGTAATTTGCATGATGTTAATAAATAATGTTTTCGGATCAGCTGTGGGATCCGACAACCAGGGCCGGCGCGAGGTGGGTTCAACACGTTCGCCGGGACCCGACCCCGCGGTTTACAAAAACTCATCACACATTTTGCAGGATCCGCTGTATAGTAGACTGAATTTTCGTGTATGTAAGGATAATGCAATCGCATAATCCACTAATCGATGACAACTTGCTGCACACTGACATGAGTGCACAATTTTCTCTCTCGTCTTTGCATTGAAATATTGCGTTGCAGTGTGTCACAAACGTTATAACGCCTGCTATTATACAGGGTGTCCCAGGACTAGTGGTACATATTTTAATGGGAGGTTCCTGAGGTGATTTTAAACAAGTTTTTCCTTTGCGAAAAAGTTGTCCGAGGCGTGGTTATTGAGTTATTAACAAAAATCCCCGCCCAATCAGAGCGCGAGTATACAAGGCGGGCAGGAGCGCGATAACCGCCTCGTGCGTTGTCGCGCCCGTATGTCGCGCTCACGACGAGAGTACAGGTTGGAACAAAAGTTTCATGCAAAAAGAAACTAACAAATTGGTTAAATATCAGAAGAAAAAAAAGGATTAGTCGTTACTTACGTTCACTGAACAAATGTAACATGCTCAATGAAATAACAAACACCTTTACAAATTACAGGATAGGTAAAATTATGAAAAATGTGAAAAGAATCGAAGTTGAACTTACTTCTTCGTTGGTCAGTGCACCTGCTCGTAGAAGAACGTCAATGGGTCAATGGGTCGACCTTCGACACTCGAAGATAGGACACATGGCT